ACATCAAAACTACAAAAACAACCGCCGACAAGAACTTGATGCAGCCTGAGGAGTGCTGGCCGTGGCAGTTAACGGAGTGTGGTTGCCAGAGACGAAAGACTGAAACTTCATACAAAAGCCAGTTAAAGCAATAGGCGCTGCCATCTTAGCAGCGCCACACACACACCCGCAACGCAAACTGACACTGACATAAAAATACACATACACTCACACACACTCACATGCACACATGTCCATGCAAGATGGCATTCAGTTTTGCTATTGTTGCAGCTGCTCTTGGCGCGGCCCATTGTTGCTAATGTCGCTTTTGTTGTTGTTGTTTTTTTCGCTCGTTATTACTGTTGTGGCAACACACACACATACGCATACGTAGCTCGCCTGTCTTTTTGTTTAATTCGTTTTTCTATTGTTCACAGGCACGAACTTTAGTCCACGACTTTCACGTATTGTTAAATGTGTTGCTATCTCTGTTCAGTCAGAGTAGCAGCTAGCTCTTTTGTCTTCCATCTCTTTCTTTGGCTGTATGCAGATTTTGCATTGCACAAAAGTTGAAAGCGAGGACATTATTGAATATGCATTGCAGTAGCTCCATTGTTGGGCACACACACAGACACACCTACACACACGTGTGTGTGTGTTCGTTCCCAAACATCCAAGCTAGACTACCGACACAAAGCTACAGCTTAGCGCGCAGTTTTGACCATTGAAATTTATATGCCGCTTATAACCTAGTCGAAGCCACGCATTAAAGCCAAATTGGCAAGCAGACACCGTAACAGAGACAGTGTGTAGGTGTGTGCGAGCAGGCGTGTGTGTTTGCCAGCATTGCTCAATTTCAAGAATAGCAAAACTGCTTCCAACTGCCAGCCACAGCCATTCGCTTATTTATGTGTTGCTGGCATTTTGTTTGCCATTCGATCTAATAAATTAACAGCTTTACCTTTGACCCCTGTCCGTGCGTCCCAGTCCCCTGTCCACAGCCAGCCAACCAACAATATAGCAACTTATCAAGAGCAGCGAAGAAAGGCACGTACCGACTGGCTATATGGGGTTAAGGACAGGTAGGTGGCTCTCAAATGTGTACACCTTATCGCCTGGCTTAGAAGACACGCACATTCACAGACGCGGGCGACAGTCAGGGATTTGGCAATAGTTATCCCGTTCAGCGCTCTGACTAACGAGGCGACAATAAAAATGGCCCTGGCAATTGGCACATTGCGGTGGGAAGTTAAAAGGATTTGCCATTTTAAATTATGGTCTCATATGGCCGGAGCGCATAAAGCAGAGAGAGCGACACATGGCAAAGAGACGTAGCAAAAGTAGAGTAAGGACTAAAGGACTAAGGACATGTATGGTACGTAAGAAGTTTATATTGGAGTAGGAAACTGCGCTTCTAATAATAAGAAAAATAATTATTTAAGCTCATGAATGGACAAATGCTGGAGAGACAAAATTATTTAATGTTCTATGTTTTAATGTTTTATGTTCAGCAATTGTTGCTGTCAAATAATATATATACAATATAACTTTGAAAGGGTTTAAGATTAACATAATCAAATTTCGTTTCAATTTAGCTTTAAAGTCATTTTGAATGTATGTTTGAGCTTCCACATTTTAAGTTTATTTAAGGACTATTCGTTAAAGTTGCTAATTATGTTGCTAATTTCGAGGCCTAAAGACAGAGAAGCCTCGCTCCCGCTAACTCCCTTCTCATGCGCCTTGACTAAAGCTTTCCAAATTGAATAGAAAGTGGACACAGGCTGAGGTTGCAGGTGTGTGAAAGCAACAATAAGTTCAAACAAAAGATGTATTTCAGTGGCGTGCCGCTAGAGATTCCCGAGGCTTAAGATTGCGGGCCACAGGAAATGCTGTCCACGATTTATTGTGCGTCCATTACAAACGGAAATTAAGCGCGGCAGGTCGCCCAGGCGTCGCTACAAGGCGAGCGTGCGTGAAAGCGTTTCCCCGGCGCACTGCTACAACCGCTAACCCCCACAAGCAGCGCTCCAGTGAGCTCTGACATTCATTTGAGAGGGTAAGGCAGGCATAGGGACAGCCGAATTCCAGCTGGCCAAAGCAAAGCTATTGTTTCTCAACACGCGCTCATCTATTCTAGTCACGTGGCACGCAACGACAACTTGGGATTTGTTAAGTGGCGCCGCGTTCTGATGTCCGGCATACTCGACAACAGCTTCATCCTATACTCTAAATTCCTTATATATTCCCTACCTACTTGTATTTAGCTACGTAGCAAGACCTTGTGACAATACTCCATAACAATGATGCGAAGCCTGGATATCATAAAGTTTTTCTCAAAGAAGCATTTCAGCTTGACTTTTTCTGAACATGTTTTTACTCTAGGCCTATTTTGACGTATTACCTTTCCTTTTCAGTTTCAGGACATTTTCTAGTCTCTTCTAGCCACGATTCTGATTTCTGTCCGGTCTGTCACGTGCCCTACACATTTCGCACATAACTCGCTTTAACACTTATTGGCAACTTCCTTTTGCATGTTTCATGGCTAGTTCTCTCAATTTTTGTTTCAAGCACCTTGACGGTTAACGTGTTTTTGTTATTTTTAGCTTGGCCATTATGAGCAGTGAGTGGCGTGGGCGACGAACAACACTCAGCCGTAGGTGATTCGATTTGGGCGTTGTGTACCTTTGGTTTTTGTGATTGAAATCGCACATTTTTAAGTGAAAAAGCGCACACAGAAGTGCACTCAATCACTCGTCACGTGATGCTTTCCTGCTACCCGTTACCATTATCCGTTTCCCTGCACCCCTAACCAATTCCTCGATTCGAACACAAATGGTGGCCAGGCTAAGTGAAGTGGCGGAGCGTAGTAGCTGCGACTCCTTAGACAGCACTGTGAAAAGTGTTGGCTGTGTTTATATAAAAGATTACGTCATTGTCGTCGAGCAGAGAGAGGAAAGAGAGAGAGAGAATGATATATAGAAAGAGACCGAAGAGGAAAAGCTGTAAAAAACGGTCAAAAGCGTGGAAGCGTGGAAAACAACAGCAGCATCCGCAATGGAAATGGAAACGCTTTGGGCTATCGCTCGGCTTTTGTAAGCAATGCGATAATAACACGTAAATGTTCTGAATGTGAAATCAATAGGAAAATAGCTTTAAATAAAAATCACAAGGATAATAAAAAGTCTGCCTGCCCTTGCCGAGCCATAAAAATTTAAAACCAATAGCGAACAGCGTGTTGACCAAAAACTTTTCTAATTTTCGCATTATGAAAATGATCTGAAATGGTGAGCAAAAAGGATATGCGACGCGGAAAGTAATTTCAAGGAGCAGCCTGTCTTGCCTACACGTAAGGCGAGAAATGTCACAAAGGGAAGGAACCAAGGACCAACAAACCGGAGGAGACCCGCGAAAACTTTTCTATTAAGAAAATTAACTGAGATTAAGTGTGGCGCATGTTTTAACTGAGTAAAAGTTCTTCTCTTGTATTCTTGCGGCCTTTTTGCTATATTTTTGGGAAAATTCAACAATTTCAAGGCATTTAAGCATTTGTCACACACACAGAGGCAATTCTGCTTGTGTAGGCCGCAGGCCGGAAGTGCTGCCTCCCGTAACAATGTGAATGGTTCACATGAAGCTGTGCGTGCGTGCGTATGTGCTTATCTGTGTGTGTGTGAGTGAGTGAGTTTATTTGTTGCCTGCCTGACTGACTTGACACACTTTGCTTGTTTGCTGCCGTCGATACTAATCTAATTTTATTGATATTGACACAATTTCTGCAGATTTCCGCATAAACATAAAAACAGAGGCGGGCAATGCATGAAGATGAAACAAGTTTAGTAACAAACAACAACAACGAGCACAAAGAAACCAATGAAAATTGAGTAGGGCACGATAGGAAATAAGTTCATTGAAAGCCGCCAACAATGCATTAAAGTTGAATTCATTCTCAAACGTTTGTTTTTTTTTCAACTTCGAAGGGTTTTACAAGAGATGTTAAAAGTCTAATGAGAATATAAGTTTCTTAAAAAGTTTTTTAAAATAATCTTTAATTCTATACAGAAAAAGGACTGAAAGACTGAAGATAGAATAAAAATAAAGATTTTGACTAATCAAAAGATTGTAGAGAAACATAATCCCTTAGACATATCGAAAATATCTTGCTTTCGTCTTGCAGACAATGCATACATAAAATGTATACCAATATTTAGAGGTTTCTTTGTGTGACTGTGGCTGCCACGAGTTTGTTTTTCAGATTTTAAGCGGCTTGCTTGAAGACTGGCGAAATGTTTTCCGTTCAACGAGTAAGTAAGTACACACTTTCAACACAAACAGATATCAGCATTACCCAATAATTTCCGGAACCGAAGACAATCGAAATGTTGAAAGGCTCTTGAACGCCTTACTGATAAGTAGCCCCGCGATAGCATTCATTGAACAGAATATTGAAAGAGAGTGTAATGCGTTTGTGATGTCTGGGTAATTTTTGGCGTGTAACATAAATTAAATAAAATAAAATAAACAATAAACCAAGAGCACCGATAAGTACAGCCACCACAGCAGGGGTTAAGGCAGGCCTTTCCGAAAGCTGCCTCAAAAGAGTCATGGAAACTGATGGTTATACCATGTAATATGGGAAGAGATTGTTTAGGTGGGGTAGTCCAGGCCTAGTCGGGGTTCATATATTTATGCGTACATTTATATATAAATGAGAAATGCGAAATAAACTCAGCCGTCTATAGGGTATCTTAGAGCCAAGCAGTCCATGCTTCACTTATGCTCTCCCTCGCCAGCGGCTGCAGTTAAAGACGAAGGCCTAAGCAACATAATCGCTGAAACGTGTGGCAATTACATGAAACTGACTAAAATTGAATGCCAAACAGCTGCTGGTTTCTGTGGGTAATTCGCATCGGAATAAACCGCCCAATTCAATTAACCAAAGGGGCCTCAGACACGTGCCGGCCCATTTGTATATGTCTATAAAAACAACAAACTTGTCAAGTTGCAAATCGTAGTGTACTGTGATGCCTTACACGTTAGCATTGCTGCTTTGTCTGCTTGGATGCAGTCTTACGTTGGCGTGGATCTCATCCGAGCACAATGATGATGATCCAGAAGTCTTCTCCGCACGCTGGCAGCTAGCTTACGAGAGCTGGCAGCGCAAATGCAAGAAATATGAGCTGCCGGAACAACAACTAGAAGTGAGCCCCCGCATTGCACGTGGGGAACTGGCCGAGTCGGACATGTTTCCCTATCAAGCGGCGTTGCTGTTGCAACTGCGTCAAGGAGATGCGACACAATGTGGTGGATCGCTCCTCAGTCTAAACTACGTGCTGACCGCAGCGCATTGCCTCAATGATGCTGAAAGCGGAGAGATTTATCTGGGCAGCAATACGTATGCTGATACAACAGCCCCCCAAATTTTTAAGGTACATACATGGAACTTTAATGTCTTTCCGGGATATTTGGGCTTTGCGGGCTATCATGATTTGGCCCTAATACATTTGCCCCACTCGGCCACGCCCAGTGCCGAGGTGCAGCCCATTGCTCTGGCGCTTGATTTTATGCAGCAATCGCTGCTACAGGGACAATTGGTCAGCAGCTCCGGCTGGGGAGCTCTGGGAGATGGCATGAATAGCACTCTGTCCCCAGAGGCCAATCTGCTGCACTATGTGGATGTTCCTGTGATGGAGCAAGAGAGATGCACTTGCTATTTTCTGCCCGGCTTAGTTAGCGTGCAACGTCACATTTGCAGCGATGGGCGACAGGGGCGTGGCAGCTGCCAGGGCGATTCCGGTGGCCCCCTGGTCTACCGTTGGCACAATGTAAGCTATTTGATTGGAGTAACCTCATTTGGCAGCACCAACGGCTGTGAGAAGGGCTCACCAACTGTCTATACGCGCATCACAGCTTATTTGGACTGGATAGTGGGCGAGACGGACGTGCAGAGCCCTGAACAGGAGTTGAAAAAGTTCTAAAGACCTCGAGTCTAACAGTCAACAGTCAACAAAATGCAATTAACGCCCAATTGTTGGCCATTAATTGCTTAACAATATAGCCAGAGTCCTGACATGTCCTAACAATAAAACCAATTAGTTCAAAACGGTAACAATGATATCGAGTCCCGAGTCCGAGTACGACATTTACTTTTAGGACCCAAACCGAGTTACCTTGGGGTATCATTAAATCGGCTCTTTGGTACCAAATGGAAATTGCGACCTACAAATAACAATAAACAACAATCAAATGATAGCCAAATACTTGGCAACATGGCCATAAAAATGGCAAAACATAAAAACAAGACAAGAATCGACAAACTCTGATGAAATGCAGTTAAAGTTATAAATATGGCGCTTATACAAATACCCTTCTATGAAATGGATTAAAATGAAATAACTGAAGGCAGTATAGACTTTCTGAGACTCAAATGATATATCTATTTATATTCCATCTTCCGTCCTTCTATATTAAAGCTGTCTTTCGGTTGTTTATCTGTCCGTTTCTATGATTTATATCCGCTAGACTTGAAACTTCGAACTTATATATTTGTAGGCTTAGTATATTTTCCTCTCCGTATTTTCGATAAATGTCGATTTAGAATCTGCTCACAACTCAAGGACTACGAGAGACTAGAGGCATAAAATTTTTGAAATATGCACAGATAAAAATAGTTCCATATTTTAAATCCAACTTCTATCTATTCCGTAGAGAGACTACTTGCATAGAAAACCCCTTAAATAGTTTTCCATTCAGCTTTTGCAAGTAGCAGGGTATCTTCCTGTCAATCATTTCGCAGTCGAATTTTTTGTCTGCACGTTGGCTAATCACCTTTAATTGGGCATTTTCAATTGGCAATTAACTGGAGTTCGCACACGTCTATTTTGGAGTTGAAACCCCCTTCAATTTCTGCCCATCATTCTGGAATCCGTCTCTGGAAAACCGCTCAAACCGCAGCGTGCGCAATCACGAGGCGAGTGTTGATAAGTGCAAATAGCCAAACAAGTTTTGCGGTCAGCTCAACGCCGGTGTATGGGTAAATTATTATTATATTTTATTTTTAAATCAATCATTGACATTGAGTACTTTGATACCAGTTAATGCGACGCGAAACTGTGGCTATCGTTCAAATCAATGAGCGAGCAACAAATACGATTTATTGCCAGACGTGATCAAGATCCCTTCCTCCCAATATAAATTTACATCTATATGACATGATATTATCAGTTCATAAAATCAACTCAAATTCCAATTCTCTGATATAATAACTTTATATCTTAACTAAAGCCCACAGTCATTACATGATGGAAAGAAATCTTAAAGGAAATCAATTTTTCAATGCTTTAAATTTACTAAGACTGTTAAAATCGTAGATATCTTAAAATATTTATGGTCGATCTTAAGAGTTTAACTATGCTCAGCCAACGGAACTGTCAATTCAACATATAGATAAGATAGATGGAAATCAGAACTAAGACCATTTAATACACATCATTGCAATCTACAGTGAACACTCTTGAGTAGCTGGCTATGCTCAAATTAACTAGCTAACTCGTATTCCTAACTCGACCTAATCGGATTACAAAAAACTACTAGTAATTAAAAAACCCTTCAATTGTAAAAATTTAATAAAAATAGATTGAGAGATTTTGATTGCTGCGCATTCAAATTTGGCAAATCTCAGTGAATCGGTTGGAGTACTGTTCAACTATTTTGTTGTACCTGCGTTTCGATAAGGCTAGAATACTTCGACTTGGAATTGGTTGTGACCAGACGTGACGTGTGCCGTAGTGGGCACATATCTTATCTAAGCACCTGGAGCACTACCTAATCTTAGCCAACAATATTCGAAGGGGTACTATATAAGCGCCCCAATTGGCGGATGAAAAGCAGTTGTGTTTTAACTAACTAAACAACATGAAGTTTCTTATCATTCTTGCTTTGGCCGTGGCCGCAACAGCTTTCCCCGAAAGCGAGCTGGTCCATCTCTCACGTGTGATGCCCGTCCAGGACAACATTGAGGGTCGCATCACCAATGGCAAGCAGGCCAGCGTTGGTCAGTTCCCCTACCAGGTGGGTCTATCCCTCAAGGTTTCCGCCCTGTCCTCTGCCTGGTGCGGTGGCTCCCTGATCGGCAGCAACTGGGTACTGACCGCTGCTCACTGTACCGATGGGTAAGTATTCAAAGGAATGGAATATTCGATGCAGTCGCTCATTTATGATTACTTTTTTAGTATTCAGTCTGTGACCGTCTATCTGGGCGCTACTGTGCGTACCTCACCCGAGGTTAGCCACACCGTTTCCAAGTCCGACATCCTTATTCACTCCGGCTGGAACACAAACAACCTGAAGAACGATATCTCCTTGATCAAGATCCCCGCTGTTGCCTTCTCCAGCAGAATCCAGGTCGTCAAGCTACCATCCATTTCCAGCTCTTACTCTACCTATGCCGGCTCCGCTGTTGTCGCCTCTGGCTGGGGCCGTACCAGCGACTCTTCCAACTCTGTTGCCACCAATTTGCAGTACGTCGATCTGACCGTCATTGCCAACTCTGTCTGTGCCGCCACTTACGGCACCAGCATTGTCACCTCGTCCAACATCTGTGTCGCCACACCCAGTGGCAAGTCCACCTGCAACGGTGACTCTGGCGGCCCACTGGTACTCGAAGCCAGCAAGGTCCAGGTCGGTTTGACCTCCTTCGGTGCTGCTGCTGGCTGCGAGCTGGGCTACCCAGCTGCGTTCACCCGTTTGACCAGCTACTTGGACTGGATCAAGTCTAACACTGGCATCTCCTACTAAATATCCGAAACTTCCAACTCGCAATAAAAACACAGCATTTAATGAAAATATTTATATTACTCTCACTTCTTCTCCCTCTTACAAATGAATTTACAAAATGCCGCCGTTAGCATCTAAAGTTTAAATTGACATTAAGCGACAATTGCAAAGTAAGAGGCGGCGCTGCGGCAAGACGTGGCAGCAGCTGTTATGCGCACATAAGTTTTCATTAAAATTCATTAATTTTACGCGGCGACACAATAACAAAGAACAACAAAAAAACAATCCGCCAAACTTCTGCTTAAGCGAGAGTGCGCGTTTACTGCGTAGGCATTCTGACAATATGTCAACATTTAACTTATTACAACACATTTAAATATACAATTTCTCTGTTATCTCGTTTATGACTTTTTTACAGTTTTCTCCCAGTGAGAAGGAAATTTGTTCAAAGTTTTTTGCTTAAAGAAGTAAAATTGACAAAATAAAAATATAAATAAAAACAAGTGTGCGAACTAGAATTTGTATTCAAATCTTTGCAATCTCATGCATGTGCATAAAATCGCGAATGAATATGCAATGAAAAACACTGTCAACAATGAAGTGGTTACCTCATACGCGCACACACACATTACATGGATAGCATTTATACAACGTATTCCGAATTGAGGATGGAACGCAGGTCGTGTTTGCTTGGTTGACACGAAGCTATGCTCCAGACTAATACCATATCTCATCGAAATATATCATTATATTTAAATTTTATCCAAAAAAGAACGTATAATGTATAATGCAGTATATCTTGGAATTACTGTGAACTCGGAATTACTTGATACAAATGATCCGTATAGATGACCGGTCTATATGACTATATGTCATATTTTTGTATGATCTCTATCTTATAGCTTAAAACTGTATTTATATATCAATAAAATAAAGCCACATTTAATTGACCTTATATATATATATAAGTATTGGCTATTACATTACATTACATCATTTCACAAAACCAAAAACAAAAGATTTTCCTTTAACAATTTGATCCTCATTCCACATTTAACATTCTATCTCTTCTTCTTCACTCATATATAGGCATCAGCCCGTTTCCATCTCTATATCAAAGTAAAGTTAGTTAGCGAACTGAAGTTGAGAGCTCGTAAAACTGGGTAGCGTTCAGGGAATGGAAACTCTTTAAACATGTGAAAGGCAAAGTGAGTGCTGGATGTTTCTGCTCCTAACTGGCTGCATATCCAGTCGGGCTGATAAATGTTTGCATTGCGCAAATTTATGACAGCACCAAAAAAGTTGCACTCTTATTTTTGTGGCTTAGATATGACAAAATGCTGCGCATATGTACAAATAGTTTTATATGTATAGCATCCTATCAGCCGTGCGTGTGGCTGCGAAAAGTTTGTTAAAATGTCAAAGCAGCCCAGTTGTCGTGACGATTGGTTGCACAAAAGCCGCGTGGGCCACCAAATTTAGTTGTACCCTGAATATAAATTAGAAATGGTAATTTAAGTTGTTTTGTTCTCATTGAAATTGATGTTACAGGTAGAAGCTTAACTAATGCCATACGGAATTTATATGCATTTCAGTTCAGAATTTCTGCATGGACTTCATAGATTATATAATATAGAATATATATTTTACTTCGATCAAATTTCAAGTCATCCATACTCTTTTATGTTTTCAGGGTAGTGATTTTCTAGTAGTGAATTCCGAAGTCGAGTACTCTTACTTACTTTTGCTGTTATTTAACTCCACTTTGGAAACCGAGTTTCACTAAACTTGACTTTAACTTTTGGCCAACAAGTTAATTTCACATTTTCTTCCGACAGTTTTTGCGGCTATCTAACGGTGAACCAATTTGACTCTCGTGTTCTCACAGATGCAAGCAATTGCAAGTTATTTATGCACACACATACGGCCTGCTTGTTGGGCCTCTGTCACCGGTGGGACGCGGCTAAACGGGTCAGCACTTCTGACCCAAAAATTAAACATTAAAATCCTTCGAAGGCCAATTAATTATTTAGTTAGCCTATAAAATCAAATTTCGTTTAGCACACCAAAATCAATTAACAAAGCGACAGCTCATCAATTATGCCAGCCTGCCACACACACACATACACAATCATGTATATGTTGAAAACTTTTTGACTCAAGAGTCAATGCTATGCTGGCTAATAAATCGCATACGATTCAAAGCAATCAAGTTAATTAACGATTTTTGGTTGGGCCAACTAGTTGGCTACATTATTAATTAAGTCATTCCAAAGCCAAAAAAGCATCTAAGCTGTATTATACAAGTGTGTGTTTGTATGTGTATATCAGTGTGTGTGTTCAAGTAAGATGAAAGTAGCACGGACAGCACATTTCAATACACACACGCACACACACACTTAAACGCAGTGGCGTGTAATAGGAGGAGTTAATTCAAAGGAATTTAACTTTTCTCTGTATAGATGGATATATTAATTACAGGATAGATAATCTAATGTTGTTCACAATATTTCATATATTTCAATAAGCAATAGCAACTTATCCGTATTCATTCCTTTGCACCTATACCTCTGCACATTCATTAGCTGCAGTCCTTAATCCACCCATGCCAGTGAAAATTTTTACAATGTTTATGATAATGTTATTATCTCAGCATGAATGGCAACTTTATCTGAGCAACTGGCTTTAATAGAGTCATCTGGTCGAAGATTAATCAACGGCAATGACAAGGCGCAAAAATATCGAGCACAACTACTGAGAGAATGAATGATCCCACAAAGTTTTAGTCTGACTGATGCCGTGACTTTTTGCCTGAGACACATTGAGTGAGTGATATTTGGGTAATTAACTACCACGAATAGAATGAGGGAGAAAGCGTATGCATGTGTCTAAGCGAGTCAGTAATGGTTAGAGACTCACTTAGCCGAGCGCACATATCCTCAAGTTTTCTGTATATTTAACGGACTGTCACTTGCGCTGACAGCTAACACAGAAAGTGTTTCTAACAAAGGCCACACTCACTTGCACACACGCTAAGAGTATCGCACACTTAATTCATTTAACTCAAACATTTTCATTTATTTATCGCATTATTCAGACTCTTCCCCAGCGTAACCATTGCGAAGCGCTTTCCTTTCTTTTTTTTCGACTAATGACTTCCTGCTTTTGCTACCGAGCACAGCTTCCACCTGTCACACACACACACAAACAACACATGTGTGTGTGTGTGGTTTTCTGACACCCACATGGCGGCGCATCAGAGTCATTGAATGTTTTTGGCATGTTGCCCGACTCGACACCATTATTTCTGGTAACAAGATAATTGTATAATGAAATCCAAACAACACTTTGACTTGACTCGCCTGTGGCAGCTTGGCTGCTCCTCTCCTTTTTTCTTACCCTTCTCGTTCGCTATATTTTTCTCTTTGTCTTCCTCTCACAGTCAGTCTGCCTGTCTGTCCATGCTGAGCCACTTGAAGTTCCCCAACAATGACTTGATGGCAAAGTTCGCTGATTTTCCTCAACAGCTCATACAAAGACAAAGACTTTTGTTGTTGTACTTGTTTTTGGTTTGCGTTTTATTTCTGATTGAGTGGTAATATTTTTGGTCTCTGTGAATTGCTCACAGTACAGCGTTAAGCTTGAAACTTGCATTAAATTGGCTGAACGCTTTTGAGAATTTTACAGAAAGCCCGAAAATTTAGGAAGACTCAGTCATCTCAGTGAAATTTATAAAAGCTTATAGCGTATAGCACGCACATACCAAGTTTGTTTTAAATATTCGATAACTATTCCCGTTTTATTGTTATCGAATAAAAATATGGTTGAAATTCAGTTCTTAAATTATATCTCGTACAGCTTAAGAGCTAGATCCTCCAAATGTTGTATTTAGTTTTTTATATATTTAAGGCTATTTTGATTTCAGTGGGATTTTGGACACCGACTCCAATTTTCCCCAAATTCTTTAAATTTAAGTTCAATTAGAAATAGCGCCAATAAGGGAAGGAGTTTGCATTTCAACCAAGCCAAATAGAATAGAATCCCAATAGAAAATGGGAACTCAGAGTATAATAGTTTTGTGGTAATGCTGTGTTGGTAGAGGCGGCGCTCGTTGGCGATAAGTTTTGGGTTCGATGCCAGCGAATTGGCGGTGATGATAGAGAGTAGGGTATCTCATAGTCGGGCACCCCGACTAGAGCTTTCTTACTTGTTTCTCTTGTGAATGACAGTTGATTGACAGTAATGGCTTAAGGGCTCAACCGCATGAGTTACTGAGCAGACCCGGACTATATGCTTGAGTCTAAATTAAAACCAAGCAAAAATTTGGCCAATAAGTGAAACATTTTTGGTGGCCATCTTGAAGAGATGCCACTTATGATAGCGAATTAAGTAAAAAGTGTGCTTGTCCAAAGCCACTCAACGAGCACAGGAATATATATATATATATAAATATATATATATATATAAATATATATATATAAATAAATATATATATATATATATATATATATATATATATATATAAATATATATATATATACCGTTACCCAGTCAAATGGCACCCATCATTCAACAAAAAAAAGAAAAGGAAAAACAACTGCAACAAACAGAAAAGAACAGTGAATGAATACTCAACAGAGCTCAGCTGAAGACTGAGCGCTCTACAATTCTATATATAATAAATATAATTTATATATAAAATATTCCTTTCTTGCCCTAAGCAAACTATTTTATGTTCGTTATCATGTATACCTTTAAGAAAGTATATTAATTCATTTAATTCTGTAATATTTCTTTATTAAAAAATAAAACAATTTTAAAAAATTAATGTCTTTATGCATACTTCTGGTACTTATCCGTAAAAAAGTTATATTTTAAAGATACAAATGCTTTTAACCGAGCTAATGCTATAGAAGTTTTAAGATTTTCATTTCTGATTAGTTCTCGCTCTTTGAAAAGGGTATTCAAAAATAATATAGCTTCACTTTTGACTCCTCTAGTATGGTACAAAATAAAGACATAAAGCAAACAAATGCCTTGTCAAGCAAAACTGAAGTTGAGAAGTGAATCGACAATATGACCCATAGGAGGAAGTGCCAAGGTACATGTTTGGTTGACTAGCATTCGAGTAGCTTTTAGTGAATTCAAGCAGAAAAATATATAGAAAACAATAAACCGAAATTACAACAAGGGCAAAAACACATACATACACACACACACTCCAAGGACGGGAAAGAAAAATATTGGCAAACAAAATGTTCATAAGCCATAAAGCATTTGCCTTGACGTAGATGCTTAAAAAGGAGAGAGAAAAGTGATGAGTATATAAAAAATGAATATTTGCATGCTAAAATTTGATGAGTAGTTATATTTTATATAACAAGAAGAGCAGATATATTAAAAAGAACATGAATATGCATAAAAAATATGCAAGCGCATTAATAAAGTCGTAACGAAGGATTTTACTATGCATACATATACATATATGAATACAAATATTTTTGTAAAAAATAAATTCATAGCTGGAAACGTGGAGCAGCTTTTTCAAAGTATTTAATATTAACTATTTGCACGGGTTTGTCTGACAGAAAGACACAAAAGAAAATCCTGCCAAGGGAGTCGACGACGAAAAAATTGCAATTTTGATCCGGGCCCAAAAAACGAAAAGCTGGCAAAAAAATAAAATAAGGAAAAGCACAATCGTAGCCATTGATACGCTCTGTCGCAATCATTTTGCATGCGCCAATAAGCCGGAGCAATGTCTCAGGACTGGGGCACGTATTTGTCTCCCTATTCCTTAGCTATTGACGAGTAGACAACAAAACACAATAATAGAAAAATATATATAAAAATCAAATAAAAAAGTGTGTGTAAATAAAACGGAACAGCAAACCTATCGAAACAGATTTGTTTATATATGTCTATTTATATATGTCTATATGTATATATATATATGTTATATATATTTATATTTTTTCGACGCCAACTTTTTCATATGCAAATAGTAAGCTTATTGATACAAAATGGAAGAGAGGCCTAAAATGAAGTGAAAACCCTCTTAAATATTTGGAGCTTGCTTTGGAGCATGATATATACAAGTTAATGCAAGCCATTTATGTTTGTCGTCTGCTCAACGGATTTTGAGTCAAAATATTGGTAGCTATGTAGAGCGAAGTTTTATTGCTAACCAGCGCGTGTATAAGGTGGAGGGAGTATCAATAGCGTTGATAAGCATTAAAAGAAGAAGCCAAGCGAAAAGCAATGCAATTATTTTCTATATAATTATCTTCTTATTTCTATTAGAACTTAACTCTAGCATAATAATATACAACTATTTATATAAGATACTAGTACTTTGCTTTAAATTGATAAGGTTGCCACAGCAATTTATTGCCAACTCTAGCTGAATATTGCGTTCAGGTATATGATTTTCAGTCCACGCAGCTGTGCCAATAAAACTTTTTCAATACAGAACCCGAATTAAGATCCGAGTAAAAAATTGCAACGCAAACTTTGACCAAGCTAGGAGACTAGTGCAGGCAAACACACTTTAGCGATATGTATACTATACACGTATACATGTATATACATGTGCGTGGGTAAATCATGTGCGACAACAAATGGCTATGGAAAAGTTATAAAAATGCATTTACACCAGTTAGAGCAAGACGAACATCTTGAGTTGCAACTGACAGACTAGAAGACTATGTTGACAAACGTATTAGTCATGCGACCAGTTGTACACGCAATGATTAATGAAACGAAGCTGACGCTGACAGCTGAACAGGCGTCTCGCAATTTTTGAATTATAGACGGAAATGGAACTTGCCATTTAATGTGGCAATGTGATAAGTCATCAAGGAAATGTCAGACAGGTCGAATGCTGCTAAACACCGCCACTGCAGCTGCTGCTGTTGCTGCTGTACCAGACAGTTGTCATTAATTTTGGCCATTGACCACAAGGCTTGGAAAGGCAAATGGCAACGATTTCATGACAATTTAACGCAACTGTGCAAACTTGTCCATTTGCCAACAACAATGGCCGCCTCGGCCATGGCAATGAAATAAAAAAGAGAAACTCGATTGAGGAGTATATGCTTCGTCCAAGCTAAGCGTAATCGATGCGGCTCACATTAGAAAGTTTTCCTGTGTGTCCTGCTCCAGCAAAACAGCCAGCAGCAGCAGCATTTCGAGTGTGCTTTTGACTTGGTCTCGTAGTCCCTTTCTTATCGTGTGCTGCTTCGTTTATCATTTCTTGTTCACTTGTCGAAATTTTATTGCTGCAATCTTGTTTGTCGTTATCAAAGGAGCTGCTGTAACGGGACACTTCTTATATTATATATATACATATATTTATATGTATATCATGACAGGGATACTTAAGCTACGACTGGACATTGTTGTAAAAACTGCCATTGTTACACGATATGCGTCTAAGAAGCGTGTGATTCTGAGTGTATGTCTCTCCCTCTTTTAATACTTATCACAAACTGCAAAGAGTGTATTGATTTTGTGTCATATCCATCCGTCTTTTTGCCTTTCTGTATGCATATATATATATGTATGAAATATATACTCATAGTACCCCTTAATTTACATAATATTAAGCTTCCATCATACGCCCACTAATATATGTATAGTTAGCCAATTGGGATTTGAATTTTCATTTTTCTACTTTCGGTTTTCTGAACGTGAACGAGTATTATGCCGTCAGTCACGTCCGTTAATACTTGCTCTCACTCTGAGTAAGTGTGTAAGTAGTAAGCGCATTACGTATACGTAATATAGCAAACGCTAAAATGTGACTTAAATTGATGGGGCTTCATCGTTTCTTAATCAAGCCAGTAATTAATTACATTTCTTTATTTTCAAAAGCGAAAGTAAATCATAATGTACAGGTTAAAGCAACTATATTATAAATATATATAATAATATGTCATAATATATTTTTTTGTAAGTCTTACATGTATGTATATATTTAAGCTTGCTCTTCCTGACTTGCTTTAGATAAGCTGAAACAAACAAGAAAAAATCGTTATCAATGGAAAGGTATCATATTAACATATAGTGGCATCAAAGAGTCTTTATATGTAAGCTCAATTTTCGACTGATTGTTATGAGAAGCATATCATTAGTTCTTTTTGATGTCTTTAAAAATCAGTTAAAGAATATTAAATATATCTTGGAAAATAAACAAGAGATAACCGTTGACTACAGATAGGAAACTTTCATATCTTCAACAAAAAAACTAATATCAGAAATTTAAGATTCCATCAGCTTAGAAACTCTATTTAAGCTTCAAATAAACATTCTCTTAAATGAATTAATAAATCAACAAAGGAGCTGAGAAGTAGCCTTAAAGCCCAAAAGCTGGAGACCAATGTCGCCTAGGCCGTAGACTATTTAGGCTACTCACGCACGCATCCTGCCAACATTTATGATCCAGACAGACATAGCAACAACTACATGTGTCAGCAACATATCCAAAGAATTGTTTTTATGTGCTAATGTCTGCTACCCCGCTGACCTCTACTCAAGATGCTAAGCCCAGCTACTAAATTTGAGACCAAGTCCTTCGTACTATCCCCTTTGATTTGTTTTGCATGCTTAGCACGTAAAGCGATTTGATTTCAATTTTCCAGATTCAACTGCCCAGCGTCCAGGCGTCCACTTTTTCGCAATGAGTTGGCAACATTTGGGACAACGTTGCGTATGCGGAATATATACCTACGGCACCAAGCTAATCGCTGGGAATATCCGACACTTGAGCTCTATAACGTAAGTAGCCATCACTTTTAGCAAAACAATCAATTATCGTACCATAAAAATGTTTTGATTTATAAACTGTAGCACAAAATTAAAAAAAAAAACCCACAGTTAAAAATTAAATCAAGTAGCTAAAGTTCAAGTGAAAAGAAAATCTATTTCGATTTCAGAATTAAGATATTTTTTTTTATCAAAATTGATAGAAAATTTGATAGATAATAAAATTCGATGATAATACTTAGAATTTGTGAGCATAATTAGTTAATATTTCGCAAAACACGACGGAAGAAAAATTGAATGGTGTAAGACTGAATATAGAATATACTATATAATATTTACTGGAAAATAATAAGATTATAGTTAGAATATATCTAGGAATTACTTAGATTTCTACCGCTCTCAGTCCCCTGCACTATAAGAGACTATTTAACTAAAAATTATTCAAATTTTGTTCATTGAAAGACTATATTTATTATTATTTTATATTTGTTAACTTTCATAAGTGTAAATCAGTTCGATAGAAATCTTGTCATTCAGCTGTCGTCATAAATAGAAATCAGTTTGAATCTCTTAAGTGTCCCACGTCTGCCCTCCGGCCCACAGTTCGAGTGACTTTAATTGCTGTGGCTTGTGATTTATAATCTTAGTAATTTAGTAGATAAGAATAGATACGATGGAGTGCACAGGCGACTCTTAGGAGTTCCATCTTCAACAAAATATAATCGCAAAAGCTTTTTGGCCAATTGATAACAAATTCACTATAAAATAAATAGAATGACCAATGGAAAATCATTCGTTCATTTGACAACAATCAGTATGAAAGTGCTCGTAGTTCTTGCTTTGGTTATTGCCACCGTCTCTGCTGGCGTGGTGCCACAGGGCGCTCCCATACATCCTCGTGATTTGCCCAGCATGCCTTCAATTGAGGGACGCATAACCAATGGCAGGACTGCCTATGACGGTCAGTTCCCCTATCAGGTGGGACTTAGCTTCTCAAGCTCCAGCGGTGGCTGGTGGTGCGGTGGTTCCATCATTGACAACCAGTATGTCCTGACAGCCGCTCACTGCACCAGCGGGTAAGTGTTTCCATCTTAAAACTAATTATTTCTCAAAGCTAATTCTATCTTGCCTACCTGCAGTGCTTCCGCCGTGACCATCTACTTCGGCGCTTTGGTTCGCACCAACGCCAAGTTGACCCACACCGTCTCCAGCTCCAACTTCAAGCAACACACTGGCTACAACTCGAACACTCTGGCTAACGATATCTCGCTGATCAGGACCCCAGTCGTTTCGTTCACCTCATACATCAACAAGGTTTTGTTGCCTCCAATTGCCAGCAGCTACTCCACCTACGCTGGCCAGAAGGCTACCGCCTCCGGCTGGGGCAAGACCTCCGATAGCGCTTCCGGTGTGACCAACACACTCCAATACCAAATCTTCGAGGTTGTCTCTGTTGCTACTTGCCAGGCCACCTATGGCTCTGCCGTTGCCTCCGCCAAGGTCATCTGCATTGCGACCCCCAACAAGTCATCCACCTGCCAGGGTGATTCCGGCGGCCCATTGGTTCTGGACAGCACTGGCCGCTTGATTGGTGTCACTTCCTTCGTCTCTAGCTCTGGCTGCCAATCTGGTCTGCCCTCTGGCTTCACTCGTGTGACTAGCTACTTGGACTGGATCAAGACCAACTCCGGCGTCTCCTACTAAATCCACTTCAAAGGGAATATTGTAAAATAAAAGTCCACAATATCCACAATATACTGAGCTTTATAAAAATCAAATAGGTTTTCCTACTGTGTTTTATTTTATAAGTTTTCCCCCACCCCCACAAAATAATAATAATGATTGCCAATGAATTTTAATCTCTTAAGCATAAGTAGGAGTTGTCTAATTCAGCGTAACTCGGCTTCCAATCCCAAACAACTATATGATTATAGCTAAAGTGAAGGAGTTCGTGCTTACAATTTTCAACTGAGAAATACATACATTTTTAACCAAAACTATTTTTTTTTTGCCATAATTATTTATATTTGGATATCTTGATACTGATAATCACGCAAGTGCTCATTTTTTGTGCCTGTCATGAAATTTAATACAATTCTCACCAATAAGATGTGTGTGTAATCTTAACTGATAAACTATATATATATATTTTTTTTTTTGATAAGCCTTCCATAACAAGTAAGAAAAGTCGGGCTAAGTCGGGCTACCCGACTACGAGACATCCTGTTTTCAGTCCTATCTGCTTATTTTAATATTTTTAATAGTTTGTATCGTATATATAAAAAAAACCCTAATACTCGACCCATCATTGCATCAACTCTACTAACACTGCCATTTCATAACTAAAATAAAAATAAACAAGTAAGAAAGCTCTAGTCGGGGTGCCCGACTAGGAGATACCCTGATCCCAGTCCTTTGAGTTTTGTAATATTTTCCGTAGTTTGTATCGAGTATTAAAAAAAAAAAGAAAACAAACAAAAATCGACATTGCGAGACCAGGTTTCGAACCCGGATTATTTGCGCAACGTGCACAAACTCTACCAACACCGCCACTTCATAACTAAAAAAAAAAATAAAACAATAAAAAACATTTCATCTCCTCTGGTCTCGAACCCGGACCAAGCTGCATACGAGCGGCGCCTCTACCAACGCAGCCACTGCCCTTCTTTCGCAAGTTGTTGCAAATTTGAACATAAGTAGCAGCTAATAATTCAGCACAATTCAATCGCAATTTCAATTCTTGGAATAGAAAAGAATGCACGCATTTGAATGTATGTGTGCACACGCATAGGAAAAATGCGTGCGCGTGGCGCTGCTTACATGTGCTTTTGCAAATTAGCCAAACGTTTTGTTTAATAACTTCTGTTTTACTTAATGGATTTTAATGAAATTTTCAGCATATAATCTACATATCCTATTGGCATGGTTGAGATGCAAACGCCTTTACATAATGGCCCTAGTTCCAACTAAACTTAAATTCTAAGAATTTGGGGGAATTTGGAGCCGGTATCTAAAATCTAACAAAAATCAATATTGCATAAAATATACATAAGACTAAATACAAAATTTGGAGGCTCTAGCTCTTAAGACGTTCGAGATATAATTTATTTACTGCATTTCAATAATGTTTTTATTCGATAACAATTAAATGCGAATAGTTATCGAATATTTGAAACAAACTTGACCTGCGCGTGCTATACACGGACCTTAAAAAAAATTTCAAGTCTCTAGCTCTAATAGATGCTGAGATCCACGCGTTCACACATACGGACAGACGGACAGACGGACGGACGGACAGACGGACAGACGGACAGGGCTCAATCGACTCGGCTTGTCATCCTGATAAAGAATATATATACTTTATGGGGTCTGCCACGCCTCCTTCTGCCTGTTACATACATTTGCACAAAACCATTATACCCTGATTTCCCATTTTTAATGGGATCAGGGTATAAAAAAAAACAAACAAAACGTCAATTCACTACCTCAATGTAAGCTTCACATGCGGGATCTTTTCAATTGAGCTTAAACTTAAAGTATTTAATGAAATTTGGAGCCAGTACCAAAATATAACAAAAAGCAAAATTGTATAAAACATACATTAAACTAAATACAAAATTTGGAGATTCAAGCAGGTAAGTCGTACGAGATATATTTTAATAACAGCATTTCGATCACAGTTTTTATCGAAACATTTGCACAAAACCATTTCCCATTTTTAATCTGATCAGAGTATAAAAAATAAAATCCGACGCCAAAAAGCGATCTACAAAATATGGTGCTCAAACAATATCGCAGAAACATGATAGACCCAAGAGCCAAAAAGTAGATCTTTAAATTGTAAAGCATTTATTATTTTTATAAGAATATTATGAAACATGCAAAAAAGCTCTAGTCGGGCCGCCCAACTAGGAGATACCCTGATCCCAGTCCTATCTGCGCTTCTAAATATTTTCAATAATTTGTATCAAGTATTAAAAAAAACAAGTAAGAAAGCTCTAGTCGGGGTGCCCGACTAGGAGATACCCTGATCCCAGTCCTTTGAGTTTTGTAATATTTTCCGTAGTTTGTATCGAGTATTAAAAAAAAAAAGAAAACAAACAAAAATCGACATTGCGAGACCAGGTTTCGAACCCGGATTATTTGCGCAACGTGCACAAACTCTACCAACACCGCCACTTCATAACTAAAAAAAAAAATAAAACAATAAAAAACATTTCATCTCCTCTGGTCTCGAACCCGGACCAAGCTGCATACGAGCGGCGCCTCTACCAACGCAGCCACTGCCCTTCTTTCGCAAGTTGTTGCAAATTTGAACATAAGTAGCAGCTAATAATTCAGCACAATTCAATCGCAATTTCAATTCTTGGAATAGAAAAGAATGCACGCATTTGAATGTATGTGTGCACACGCATAGGAAAAATGCGTGCGCGTGGCGCTGCTTACATGTGCTTTTGCAAATTAGCCAAACGTTTTGTTTAATAACTTCTGTTTTACTTAATGGATTTTAATGAAATTTTCAGCATATAATCTACATATCCTATTGGCATGGTTGAGATGCAAACGCCTTTACATAATGGCCCTAGTTCCAACTAAACTTAAATTCTAAGAATTTGGGGGAATTTGGAGCCGGTATCTAAAATCTAACAAAAATCAATATTGCATAAAATATACATAAGACTAAATACAAAATTTGGAGGCTCTAGCTCTTAAGACGTTCGAGATATAATTTATTTACTGCATTTCAATAATGTTTTTATTCGATAACAATTAAATGCGAATAGTTATCGAATATTTGAAACAAACTTGACCTGCGCGTGCTATACACGGACCTTAAAAAAAAATTTCAAGTCTCTAGCTCTAATAGATGCTGAGATCCACGCGTTCACACATACGGACAGACGGACGGACGGACAGACGGACAGACGGACAGACGGACGGACAGACAGACGGACAGGGCTCAATCGACTCGGCTTGTCATCCTGATCAAGAATATATATACTTTATGGGGTCTGCCACGCCTCCTTCTGCCTGTTACATACATTTGCACAAAACCATTATACCCTGATTTCCCATTTTTAATGGGATCAGGGTATAAAAACTAATAAAAACCGACATTACGACAACGCGACACCGCCATTTCATAATGAAAATAAAATTGTCCTTCGCCGCCATCGAACACCGAACTTGTCGAATTGGATTTTAATGAAATTTTCAGCATATGATCTACATATTCTATTGGAGTAATTGACCCCATTTTCAACTGAACTTAAATTTAAAGAATTTGCTGAATCGACACCGCTTGTCGTCCTGATTATGGGGTCTGCCACGCCATCAAAAACAACACCATATGGTATTTATAGGCAAAAAGCTGTGATAAGAATCAATATATAAATTTGAGAACGTATTTAAATAGTTGTCTAAATAGCAAATATATGTTAACGTTTTTATTGAATTGAAGGAATATTTATGAGCCCTTAACCGGTGAGATAAGGCTCAGCGCAATCGCGCTTCTATCAAGACACCACAAGTATAAAAGCCGTTCAAAACTCAAGCAACGACAAGTTGTATATTCAGCATGAAAGTGTTTCTAACTATTCTAGCTTTGGCTGTAGCCTCTGCCTCGGCATTCGAGGAAGTCGTCCATCCCAAGGACGTTGCCAAGGTCAACAAGATCGAAGGACGCATTACCAATGGCTATCCAGCCTACGAGGGTAAAGCCCCTTACACTGTTGGTCTTGGCTTCAGCGGCGGCTGGTGGTGCGGTGGTTCCATCATAGGCAACACTTGGGTCCTGACTGCCGAGCACTGCACTGGCAGTGACGTCACTGTTTACTTCGGTGCCACCTGGCGCACAAACGCTCAGTTCACCCACTGGGTCAGCCGCAACGACATCATCAACCACCACAACGCTGATATTGCATTAATCCGCATTCCCCATGTGGACTTCTGGCATATGGTTAACAAGGTTGAGCTACCCAGCTACAATGATCGCTACAATGACTTTAACGAACACTGGGCTGTCGCCTGCGGCTGGGGTGGTACCTATGATGGTAGCCCATTGCCCGACTGGCTCCAATGCGTCGATCTGCAGATCATACACAACTCTGAGTGCCAGCAAACATATGGCTCTGGCACCGTTTCCGACAACATTCTTTGTGTCCGTACTCCTGATGGCAAATCCACATGCGGTGGTGACTCTGGCGGCCCATTGGTCACACATGACGGCAACAAGCTGGTCGGTGTTACCAACTTCGTCGCTGCTGCCGGTTGTCAATCTGGACTTCCATCAGGCTTCCAGCGTGTTACCTATCACTTGGACTGGATCCGTGACCACACTGGCATTGCTTATTATTAAACTATGCCTTCTCTTTCGACTTAAAAAAAGCAAATTAAAAAAAATATATATATGGAAATATGTCTACATTTTTTAAATATTATCCTTTTTTATGGTACATTTAAACAAGTAAGAAGCCTCTAGTCGGGGTGCCCGACTAGGAGATACCCCGATCCCAGTCCCATCTGCGTTTTTTAATATTTTCCGTATTTTGCATCGAGTATTAAAAAAAAAACAAAACAAATATAAATAATCGTCATTACGAGACCAGGATTCGAACCCAGATTGTTTCCATAAAATATACATAAAACTAAATACAAAATTTTGAAGCTCTAGCTCTGAAGACGTACGAGATAAAATTTATTAACTGCATTTCGATGTTTTTATTTGATAAAAATTAAATGGGAATAGTTATCGAATATATGAAAGAAACTTGATATG